TTCCCTACCCACCTACCAATTTCACTTTCCCTCGTGGAGTACCTTAGCCTTGAACTCACCTGTCCTCCTTGAAGTTAGTGGGGCCGTATTGTCTGCATCAGCTGGGGAGGTGGGAGCCCGTGTGTATGTCCTCCAGGTGAAAGCACTAACAGCCTGTGCGTGATCACCACGCTCTCTACCTTGCCCTCCAGCACAGGAACACAGCATACAAAGCTTTATCACCTGAGTTTTCTGAGGGATCACAATGAACAGAGCTCTTTTCAGAGTGGACAGGGAGCCACAGGTGAGGTCCAGCCTTCTGTGAAGCTTACGGCAGCGAGATGTGGGGGTTGTTGGTCACCACAGACACATCTAGGCTGTTCCGAGTGATACACGTAGGCCAGGCTGTGATTCCTATCTGAGTTATGGCTTGCTCGGGTCAGGCGAGACACGGTTTAAAGAAAGAGAACAGGGCGGTGTCTGTGGCTCAAAGGGGTAGGGTACTGGCCCCATATACCAGAGGTGGTGGGTTTAAACCCAGCCCCCAGCCAAAAAAAAGGGAGCAGATGTCATAAAAGAGAGGGCGGGGAGGGAGAGCAAATGTGACCATGGAAAGCAAGATGAAATTCTTCCCATCTAATAGCAGATAAAAACGGCAGTTTAGGTTCAAAAGTTCCAAGCTTTATATGACCTACCAAAAAATAACCACTCTTGATAAACATTAATCCAAGTTTATTATAAACTCATTTGTTTGGAGTTTTAAGCTATTTAAAGCACTAAAACTATATGAGTTGCATGCCAACACAAGCAACAAAATACACTTATCATCATTGAATATCTTATACAATCCAACAAGTACGAAGAGCAGAAAACACATTTATTCACGTGACAAAAACACATTTTATCTACTAGTATGATGTTTCAGTAACAAGTTGAAAGACAACATTATTTACCAGGTGGTGAGATCTTTGACACCTAAAGACATAATAAATTGTACATCCCCAGGCTTTATATTCTGACTCTAAACATTTCATTGATTCAGAGCAATGATGGTATACAGGTGAAGCTAGTAACAGTTTTCACACACAAAAAAAATTCACTCTCTTATCTGGGTTCTAATTCAAATTAGGCACAAAACTACCACACATTTTTCCTTTTATGTATGGAAGTGAGCAAACGAGACCCCCCAACACATAAGAACTGTATCTGTTCATGCCTTTATTAACTTTTAGATATTTTCCACTTTAGATATGCCAATAATTAGAAGCAACTTTTCTTGAAAAAAAAATAATTTAAGGGCATATTTTTATCACCTAGTTAAATCCATCCGTAAAAAATCTGATGTTTTTGGATGTACTCACAACTAATTACAGGTCAGAATTACTTGTCTCTGTATCGATAATCATAAAAACCTATGCGTAGGGGGGTTTCGTCTCAATTTTTAAAAACTCACAAACACTTGGGAAAAACCTGGCAAGGTTTAATGCATCTCCCCAGTACAATGTAATCACATACTCGAATAGTATGTGAAGTTGCTGCCACACTACTTGACCCAATTTGAAGGCAAATCCAATTACTCTGGGGGTTTAATGAAGACTTTTCAAACTGAGCTTAAAACACTCACATTGGCAAACTCGTTGACACTGTATGTACAATTTCCAGAAATCTGAACAAGTATTACTTCACATTGGACATTTATGTGAAAGTTATTGGTAGATGCTTCACTCTGTTATTCATTATACAGTAAATTACCAAGCTACATGCACCATATATAATAACAGGAAAAAATTCTGAAGTCAGGTATGCACATTGTTGAGTTCACTTTCTCTGATTTTGTTTTCCTTGGAAGAGAATCTAAAATAATGCAAACACATATGCTCTCACTAATTTTGTTCTTCAACCTTTGATGTCGTTTTCTTGGGTTTAACATCATTTTAAGACCGATTCAGCTGTCCCAAACCTATGCTCGGATAACGTAGACAGCCCTTCTAGAAAAGGCACAGAGCAACTCCCCTCTCACGCCCCAAAGCTTTGCGTGCTCCCATATTCTCACCCGTGATCATCTCACAACAGCAGAGCCAGGCGACATCCTGGCAATAGAACAAGAACCCTGCCACGCACTTAGAAGTCTCAAGGAGAAGAGGCTTGGGGCTGGTTGGAGGATAAGTTTCTGCT